CCGGTCATATAAAAAAAAAAAAAAAAAAAAAAAAAAAAAAAAAAAAAAAACTTGATCCTAAGTCATACAATTTGTCCTATTTTCTATTTTCATACGATATTTTGCGCATAGCATGAGGAATTCATTTCTCACTTCATTTCTAAGGGAGAAAAGCAGTAATATAGCTTATGCTAAGGGCGGATATGCACCTATTCACTGGCCCTATGTAGATATGGACAAGATATCTGGAATATCTCAACTTTAAGGTACTGTAGTCAATAAGAAAGATATAAGAATCACTTCTTACTATACCAGCTGCTTCAACAAGAATCAAGTGGTAGTTATTGAAAAAAGGCATTAAATCTTTTTTTGTTTGCTTTTCCTTTCTGGACAATAGGAATTTCAATGGATAAGAATTAAAAAATAAAACTTTTGCCTTTTATGCAATGTCCTCTAGAGATTCTTATGCTTTGCACATATTTTCTATTGATCTGCCTTTTCTGTCATGGTACAGAGGACTGAACTCAGAAAGAAACACAAGCTCTGCTGGACTCCAGGGAAAATTTGATCATTTCACTTCTTCATTTTAAAACTTATTTGCTCCCTGTTATCCTCAACTGTTTCAAAACTTGGTACCTAATTTTTTTCTCTAGTTTTATTTCTTCCTACTCTCCACTTCAAACTCCATGCTCCAGTCATATTAAATTACTTTCAGTTTTCCAAAAGTGGCCTGATCTCTAACATTCCTGACCTTTGCATATGTTATTCCCTCTTGCTCCGATCATTTTTCCCTCATCTCTGCAACCCCTTTGCCTGGCTAACTCTTCTTCATTCCTCAGTTTTCAGCCTTTCCTGATAGAAATGGCAGCCTCTCCTCCTGTTTTACTATTGGAATTTACTTGTCTCTGTCTGCCCTCAACTTTATTTCCTTCCTTGGAAGACTATAAGCTACTTAAGGATAGGCACAATGTTGCCTTGTTCAGCATTGTATCATTAACCCCCATCACTGTGTGGATGTTCACTTAATACTCATTTAAAAAAATATTTTCTGGGCCGGCCCATGGCTCAATTGGGAGAATGTGGTGCTGATAGCACAAAGGCTGCAGGTTCGGATCCCTATATATGGATGGCCAGTTAGCTCCCTTGGGAGAGCGTGGTGCTGACAACACCAAGCCAAGGGTTAAGATCCCCTTACCACTCATTTTTTTTTTTTTTTTTTGACCGGTAAGGGGATCGCAACCCTCGGCACAGTGTGGTCTGCACCACACGCAGCCAGTGAGCACACTGGCCATCCCTATATAGGATCCGAACCCGAGGCCTCCACGCTCCGCACTCTCCCGAGTGAGCCACGGGGCCGGCCCTCCAGTCATCTTTGAAAAAAAAAAAAAAGAAAAAGAAAAAAATTCTGGTTGATGCTATCCTCTAAATCCTTCTCTAACCCCATCAGTTATTTGATTCTGAATAAATCTGCTGGGAGCAGCGGTAGCTTCAGATTTCCATACAAGGTGAGACTTGGAAGTAGCAATATGGTAAGAATGGGGAGGTAGGAGTTTTATTTAGAAACTGCATTTACAAGGCAAGAAAGCTAGTTTTATATATATTGTTTATTTGGGTTGGGGTTATGGAGATTATGGGGAAGGGGTTGTTAAAGCTGCTGCAGGCCATACCTTACCGTAAATGTGTGGAATATGTTAATACTTTCCAGGATGACCAGTGCATTTTTGGAACTCTATCATGCTCTTTTCTTTAAAAGAAAAGCTATTAATTTCACCTGCCCTTTAATTCTAAGGCTGCGATGGCTCTTCAATTTGCTTCCTTCTCTCCAACACACGTACAAAAAAACCACGTACTGGTGTTTACTTTGAAAAACATATGTGAGGTTGGTACTTATTTACCGCAAAACACAAACGAGTTTTTGAGTAAGCTGCACTGTTTTCGTGGAACTCTACATAGACATACAAATTGCATTTGGGAAAAAAAATCGTACGGCTACTACTCCATACCTCAAACTTATCTCTAAAGTTACTTTTTAATTATTCACTCCCCATTACGCTACTCTCCATTTATCAGAGTTTGGTTAGTCACGTTTCATTTAATGTAATTTCGTACTAGTTTAAAGTAGTGAGGGGTAACTTTTGACTTCGAATATTGAAGGCTGCTAACTTTCCACTTTAGCAGTTTAGCTAGTCTGATCTTATTATCTGTTCTGGAACAGGAAGATGCACTTACCTATTGTGAGGTCATGTACAGGTTGGAACCGCTTGTCTGTGAACTGCAGAAGGAGACATGACTTCCCCACACCTGAAAGAAGAGGATGCGCGTTCTAGGAGTCACGCAGCCCAGAACACCTTCTCCAATCTGGACGTCCAGGACAGGAGAGCCCCGAGCCCCGCCCCCAGCCGCCCCGCCCCCGCCCTCTTGTCTCAAACCGCCCAGCCCACTAAGTGAGCCCCGCCCCCGCGACCCGATTTGGGAGCTTCGGATTCCCGCCCCAGCCTTGAAGGCGGTCCACCCGCGGGTTACCTGTGTCCCCGATGATGATGTACTTGAAGAGATAGGCATAAGTCATCGTCCCGATTCCTCTGGATTCCGGGTCCGCCCGACTTCAACAGCCACTTACCTCCGACCTCTCTAGCCACTCAATCCACCGATCTCCTTTTTTCCTCCCTCCAACCCCTCTAGCCCAGGTCACGTCTCTACTGCTCTCCCCAGAAATCTTCACTCGGTTCGGAGTACCCGACACCGCCTCCACGGTCGCCTCTTGCACGTCTACATGCCATTATCCTACCAAACTCCAGGGGGCGATAGCTAGCTTTTCCGTCAGTTCGGCTACTGACTCGATGCCACCCCACGAAGCTCCTACCAATCAGCGGAGAGCGACGCACTTCCTTGCGGAAGTGACGGCAGTTCCGAGTCCAGTGGGGGCGGTAGGAGCTATGAGGAAATAGAGACGGTGGTAGGGGTTGTGTGAAGATGGAGGTAGGAACTTGAGTGCTAAGAAGGCTGGCGAGAGATCGCGCGACCGGGTTGAAACAGAGGCGGGAAGACGGGCGGAGGGGCGGCTGACGGGAGAGGAGATAGAGCAGGGTTTGGGGAGTGTTATCAGAACGTTGGGGTCAGAATCCGCTCCAACCTAACTCCCTGCTCTGATTAACTTATCCCCTCGGCTTTCTTTTGGTTTCCAGTTTCCCGGAGGAAATGACAATTACCTGACGATCACAGGGCCCTCGCACCCCTTCCTGTCCGGGGCCGAGGTGAGCAACAGCTGCTGACGTTGCGGGGGGAGGGCCTGAGGCAGCCGTGGGGTAGGGTGGTGGAGAGGAGAGCGCAGACGCCGGGGACTGGGGGCTGGGAAGCAGGGGCCGCGATTGGTGTGTTTAGAGAAAAGTGACAGCTGCTTCTAGAGCCTCTGAGGACTGTTTGGGGAAGGCCTGGGAAGCTGCTGTCAAAAGAAAAGCAGGATGTTGGAAAGAGATAATTTAAAGAGGAGAGTGATTCTGGGTTGGAAGACAGAGTGGAATTGTCTCCTTTCGTTGGGGAGAAATAGCTACAACAATCTTGGGGTATCGCAATGGGAAGAAAATTTTTCAGCAGCTAAAGAAATAGGGGTGAGGGGAGAAGCCTACCTAGCACGGGTTAACCATGGACATGTGTTTATTCTAGAAACGAACCGTGTTGAAGGGGCCTTTTTTTAAAACTTAAACTTCGTCCTCTGATGGAGTTAGTAGTTACGTTTACATACATGGTGTTAGCTTGTTTTGCTAATGACAGGAGGAAAGGAAATAGCTACCAGAGAACATGAAAGGAATTGAGTAGAAAATGTTTCTGTTTGCCAGTGGTTTAGACTTCGGGCAGATTACTTCATCTTTGTATGTCACAGTTTCCCCAGCTTTTAGATGGCTGTAGTAGTTTCTCACGATGTTGTAAAGTAGAAGTAATGGTTATGGTGAGGTCCTAAAGTATTCGTGAAAAGTTTTGGTTGAAATATTGTCGTAATGTAGATATGTATCACTTGTTTAAGCAAGACAAAAGAGAAAGGTGGAACAGATTAAAATTTCTCAGTCTTTGAGAAACTGTGAAGCCTTGAACCTTCTACCATCTTTTGAGGATTTTAATATTTTTTTTCAAAAGTGATGTGAACCTTTTGCATCAGTTTTTTTATACCAAGAATTCTCAATTGCTGTCGAATGGGCGTATCCTATAATAAATCCTAACGTTTTCATGGATGAGAATTAGATTGACAAATAGCAGTTGCTAGTTTTTTAACTTCTTTATTGATGTTATTATTTATTATTCTTCTCCTAAGTGGGGTGTGTGTGTGTGTGTGTGTGTGTGTGTGTGTGTGTGTGTGTGTGTGTGTGAATCAAATGAGCAGAACATTCAGAAATGATATAAAATGAAAATCTGTTTGGTGCTTTGCAGTTTCATTGCCAGTTTCTTCTGAATGAGGTCTCCATGGTTTAATTTCATTCTGTGGAGTGTTTTAAATCTCACATTGGCCTCATCCATGTGACAGTACATCATTGCCAATTTCTTCTCTATCAGGTCTTCACAGTCTAAATTACATTATTTAGAGTGTTGTAAGTTTCACATTGGTCTCATTCATGTGAAAGTACAGTTTAAATACAAGTAGCTTTCAAATTTATCCCGTTCTTAATCCTCTACCCCTTTAATGAGGTTGAACAATCAAGAGATAACTACATAAGAGGTGGCTCGTTTTTACCTCAAGAAACTTTCCAGGTTTGAGTCTATCCTTTATTTTTGTTTTTATGATTTAAGAAATTTTTTGGTTGTTTTTTGTTTTGCCAGAGAGCTCTTAGCTAAGTTTTAGACTTGATTTCAGTAGCTTTCTTTAGTGTAGGACTTCTGTCATTGTTAAAAGTTCTTTTTCTCATTACAACTTCTACACCTTCTCTTCCCCTCTTGGTGGTAGTGGTGGTTGTTTATTTTAATGGGTTTGTGGGTTTTGTTGTATCCATCCCAAATATAACTTAGAAGTAAGTAAAAGTAGTATCAGAGTCATGGATCTGAAGGTAAAGTATGGGTTTTGTACTGAGAAAAGCTCAGTTCTCAGGGAAAGTTTTAGTTTTTCCTATAAAGAACTGCCTGCTCCTATGCTCCATGTGTAATTCATATTATATCCCAGACAACTATCAAATTTTTACCATAGTAACTAAAATAGTAAGGAGGAGGAAAATGTAGAAATGAAGCTGTGTGTTTTTTGTTTGTTTGCTTTTGGTCCTATAGGAAGCTTTTTTCTTTTTGCCAATGTGATTCAGAGAAATTGGGCATTTCAGAAGCATATTTTTTTTCTCTCTAGTTCTTACTAGCTGGAAATATTCTCTCTAACAATGTCTTCATTAAAACAAAAATGGTGATAATAGTGAGACCCTTTCTGGATCTACAGAAACATCAAGGAACTCTTTAAAGAGTGCATTATTTAGGGCTGGCCGGTTAGCTCAGTTGGTTAGAGAGAAGCCTTATAACACCAAGTTCACGGGTTTGGATCCCTGTACTCGCCTGCTGCCCCCAAAATAGCCTTTTTTATTTATGAAAAAAATGTGAGTTCCTATTTAATTTGATCTGAATCAGTTGATATTTACTATGCTGTCTGTTAGGTTGATAGAATTTATAATATCTAAAATTCCAGTTATTTATGATCATTGGTGAGGGCAGGTGACAAATTAATAATTATTAGGATATTAATATCATTAATAATGGCTAATAATGGTTATTAAGCAATTATGTTTCAGGCAATGTGTAAGCTTTTGTGCACTAAATTCCGTTTATCCTCATAATAACCATACAAGGGTTTTACCATTATATTTCCCATTTTATAGATGAGGAAAACCTGTTCAAAGTCATATAGTAAGTGGCCGAGCTGGGACTTGAACCCAGGTCTGTTTGACAGCAAAATCTCTCTTGCTGTTATTTATGATGCTATATTGCTGAAGATGACTCCATTTGAGTTTTTTAGTGTCAAAAAGGAACCATAGCAGTTAACATATTGTAGATCAGACATTGGTCTGTTAACAGTGTGAGTGGTAGCCCCTTTCAGAATAGAAAGAGTTTATTATTACTGGTCTAATTGGACTCAGAGGAAGGGAGTGTGTCTTTAGACAGCTAGAATAATCTTTTTCTTCCTCTCTTACAGAAAGACTTGGTTAGAGCAAGACTAGGAATGTGCTCTGGAACTGTTAGAGAACCAGTTTGCTGTTTGGCTGTAATAAGGTTTTTCTCCTCACTATTATCCTTCTCTTGGCATTGTTAGAGTTTTCCTAAAATCCTATACAAAGTGGAATCTTATTTGTTGTTAACATTATAATTCCTAAAATGGAAAAGACATAGGCAACTTTAAGTGCAAATATTTTAGAGGGGCATAAGTTTCCCATAATAGTACCTTTTAGGATCTGCTTCAAAGGACCCTAAAACAACAGAGTATAATTGGCTGGTTGACAATTTATTTCTGTGATCTAACAGTTCAGGTTTAACAATTGCAAAATAACTGCTATCTATTAGAATCTTTAGAGAGATTTCAAGCATCATAGCTAATCGGGTTATAAAGGGTAGATCCTAACTAATGGTGCTGAAATAATTATTCATTAGAATAATAGGCATAATAATTTAGGACAACTGAGATGGTACAGGTAGAAAATAGATAAAAGAATTGAACATTGTGATTGATATTAGCAGCCTTGTATGTGCCATATGACCAAGGGTATGAGATATAAGAGAGGTTTATTTGTAAAACTAAATAGGTCCTCAGAAATTGATACTAAAAATAGGGTCCCAAGCTGAAAAGAGGTACACTGAGAATATCCCGTACCCCACTGTGTTCTTCACTTACCATTATGCAGTTCCTCCTCCCCTACTAATTCTTTTTCCCTTTTTTTCTCTACAGACATTCCATACACCAAGCTTGGGTGATGAGGAATTTGAAATCCCACCTATCTCCTTGGATTCTGATCCTTCACTGGCTGTCTCAGATGTGGTTGGCCACTTTGATGACCTGGCAGACCCTTCCTCCTCACAGGATGGCAGTTTTTCAGCCCAGTATGGGGTCCAGACATTGGACATGCCTGTGGGCATGACCCATGGCTTGATGGAGCAGGGCGGGGGGCTCCTGAGTGGGGGCTTGACCATGGTAAGGGGCAAGACATTTTCAGGCTCACCCAAGCTCATGGGCAGGGTGTTAGGGGAGACAAAAGTTACTCTATTCCTACTACACTTGGGTATTCTCATTCTTTTGGCTAAAGGCTCACAAACCTAAATAAATGAAATTTACCATCTGGGTCAATTTTACTTGAAAAGTAAGTTAAAAGTATAAAGTTTCCAATGGGAACCCTGAAGTGAAAATGATTTATTGTGATTTTTTTAAAAAAGGTTTTCTCTTTTGTTATGGCCTTCACATCCTAGGATTCAAATGCAAGTGTGATAGCTGATATATTGAGGGATTTGTTCAAGAACAGTCTGTACCAAACCTAGTATTCATAGTGGATTAGTGTGATACATCAGTGTGTTGGGCTTCCAGGACATCTCATTATTAACGTATCTCCACACTGTATTTGATGCCAAACATCTCTAAAATTGATGGGCCTTATTTACTCTGATTGCCTGTGTACTGCAACTTTAAAAGCTGTTTTGTTTTTTTTTTAAAGATGACTGGTAAGGGGATCTTAACCCTTGGCTTGGTGTTGTCAGCACCACACTCGGCCAGTGAGTGAGCCGGCCATCCCTACATAGGATCTGAACCCAGGGCCTTGGTGTTATCAGCACCGTACTCTCCTGAGTGAGCCACGGGCCAGCCCTTAAAAGCTATTACTTTAAGAGGTTACAGATGGGAAGTTTTTCTTTACCCTGTGTGTGGTCATTATCTACACATAACTGAATAAGTTATTTACTCTTTAAGTTAATTTGTCCAAAATGAAAACTTCTCTGATTATTTATAGTTATTTCAGAATAGGCCTTTGAGTGCAAAGAAGTGAATTTTCTAATTTCTCTACTTTTAAAAAAAGTTTAATATGTTTTATATGTAGACAAATTATTTGATGGTTTTTAGAGTTTAAATGATGATGGGCCGGCTCGGTGGCGCACTCCTACAGTGCGCCGCTTGGGAAGCGCGGCGGCGCTCCCGCCGAGGGTTCGGATCCCACATACAGACCGGCTGCTCACTGGCCGAGCGAGGTGCGGGGGCAACACTGAGGGTTGCGATCCCGTTGCCGGTCCCGGTCTGGTACGGGCGCGACACTGAGGGTTGCGATCCGTTGCCGGTCATGAAAAAAGACAAAAAGGAAAAATAAATAAATAAATACATGATGAAACAGTCTGGGTAAGCAGAGGATTTATAAGCTGTCCTGAATTCAGCGGGGGGAAAAGTGGTGTTTTATATTTAGTGTTTAATTAGTCCTTCTGCTTCTCTCAGGACTTGGACCATTCCATAGGAACTCAGTATAGTGCCAACCCACCTGTTACAATTGATGTACCAATGACAGACATGACATCTGGCTTGATGGCGCATAGCCAGTTGACCACCATTGATCAGTCAGAACTGAGTTCTCAACTTGGTTTGAGCTTAGGGGGTGGCACCATCCTGCTACCTGCCCAGTCACCTGAAGATCGTCTTTCAACCACCCCTTCACCTACTAGTTCACTTCATGAGGATGGTGTTGAGGATTTCCGGAGGGTGAGGCATTCCCTGCCAAAATCAATTCTGCCATGGTATTCTAGGATATAACTCGTGGCCTACAGAACCTAATCAGTGTCCTTTACTTCTGCCCTGCCATCTCCTCTGCTCTTTTCTTGGTATGGGGACCCACCTCTCGAATTCCAGTTTATAATGCTCCTCCCAATCCCCATTCTCATTGGTCCTCACATACTTTACTAATGTCTTTTAATTCTATTGACTCTGTTTTTAGCATTTCTGAAAATTCCATATATGTGGCTAGTTTCCCCTTATATAAAAGTCCTTTTCTTACAGTTCTCCAGACATATAATTTCCTTCTTCCACCTTGTAATTCTCTCTTTTTTCTTCCCTACAGCAACTTCCCAGCCAGAAGACAGTGGTGGTAGAAGCAGGGAAAAAGCAGAAGGCCCCCAAGAAGAGAAAAAAGAAAGATCCTAATGAACCTCAGAAACCAGTCTCAGCATATGCTTTATTCTTTCGTGATACACAGGCTGCCATCAAGGGACAGAATCCCAATGCCACTTTTGGAGAGGTTTCAAAAATTGTGGCTTCCATGTGGGACAGTCTTGGAGAGGAGCAAAAACAGGTGAGCAAATAATGAGAAACTAATGAATAGTGAATGTTCCAGGAGTTTTTAGGTAAGGGGATAAAAACTAAGGTTTTCTTCTTTCTTATATGTCCTTATTTAATGTCAGCTCTTTGTTAATGGCATTCATACATCATCACTTGTCTTAGAAGTTGCAGCCATACACTGAATCCAGAAAACCCATTTTGAAATTATTATAAAGACACTGAATCTTTACAGTAACTCTATAAAATAACAACCATTTCCTCCTTTTTACTGAGGATGGAAACTGGGGCCCACTGCCCAGTTAATATAAATTTTAAGTGGCAGAGTTGAGACACAATCCAGATTCTTTAACTCCATATTCCATGTGCTTTCTACTAATAGTGACTCCTATAATTTTTTGTGTATCTTCAACTATTTTTAGATATTTTACTTTTCTTTTTCTTTTTCTTTTTTTTTTTTAAATTTTACCGGCCATCCGTATATGGGATCCGAACCCGTGGCCTTGGTGTTATTAGCACCGCACTCTCCCGAGTGAGCCACAGGCCGGCCCGTAGATATTTTACTTTTCTAAGCCTCATTTTTTTCTCATTTATAAAATTAGGCTATTACTTGACAAGTTGCATGCTGTGGCTAACTCTAAAATCCACTACCAAGTTTGGACTTAGAATTTAATTTAGGGTCTTTTTAGCCTAGTATAAATTTGAAAACTGGTCAGTCTTCCTAAATTTAATCTGTATTTTAAAAATAAATGAAAATTATGATACTGTACAAATATGAGATACAATTGAAATTGAAGATGGGTATGATTATCATTACCCTAGGCACTGAGGTCTTAGGTCAAAGTGAATCCTCTACTTAATATTTGAAACGAGAAGCTGAATTTATTATACATAACTTGTATCAGTTGTCTGTTGCTGCTCAACAAAACACCACAAATTTAAGGGCTTACACAATGGCAACTTCTATTTCTCATGATTCTGAGATGGCTGGGTGGTTTTTTTCTTGCTATTCTTGCCTGGGCTCATTCCTGTGGTTGTATTCGAATGATGGCTGGGATGGCTGGCCAAGATGGCCCTGCTCCCATGTCTGGCAGTTGTTGCTATCTGTTGGCTAGGATGCCTTAATTCTCCTTCGCGTAGGCTCTCATTCTCCAAGCAGGCTAGACTGTCTTCCTTATGGTATGGTAGACTTAGAGCAACCTTCCAAGAAGGCAAAAACAAATGCCTTAAGGTCTCTTAAGTCTCAGTGTCACTTTAGCCACATTCTCATGATCAAACAAGTCACAGATTCAAACGAAGAGGAAACAGGCTTCAGCTCTTAATGGAAGAAGGCATGCAGGATGGGAGGAATTCTTGTGGCTGTTCTTTGCAAACAATTTACCACATTCCTTTAAGTAGAATGTACTGATTAGGCACAGTTGCAGACTAGGAATCTATTGATCTTACATAGTTTTGGGTCAGGGTTTATTTTTGTGGCAGAAGTGAGCATGGGTTGATGTTCACTTTAGAAATGTAGTTATTTTGGCAAAACTCATTCTTGATTGGCTGGCTTTCAGAGGTATGCTCAGTGGAGTGAGTCAGCCATGGAACCTATCTGATTGTTAGCTTTCAGAAGTGTATTCATTGAAAATGTTGTAAATGATTAGACAGATAAATTCATTCATTGATGAATAATATAGAATTATAAGTCTTTTCTAGGAGCATGGGGATTTATTTAAAAGTCTGTCTTTCCTACAGGTGTATAAGAGGAAAACTGAAGCTGCCAAGAAAGAGTATCTTAAGGCTCTGGCTGCTTATAAAGACAACCAAGAATGTCAGGTAAGAGGATTAGGGCAGAAACATATTTAAACCAATAAGTTTTTTGAACTGTTAGTTAACTGTTATAAGTAAGTACCACCAAAAACCTGTGGGACTTATTGATGCCAGATAGTATTAAAATCTTAAAAAGTATTTAATAGCTTTCCCATTATTTCTGTCATATAAACCTTGTCATTCTTTCTGAGTTTATTCATTATTTCCATTGTTTACTTTAGCCAGGGTCATACCCACAGCTGCTCCTTTTTTAAAAATCTGTGATGTATCTTTTCTTTGGAAGTGATTAGAGTGAATAGAACTACGGTAGAGAGTAAATCTACAAATGTTATTTTTCTTGGTCTTCTTTTAGGCCACTGTGGAAACAGTGGAATTGGATCCAGTGCCAGCATCACAGACTCCTTCTCCACCTCCTATGGCTACTGTTGACCCAGCATCTCCAGCACCAGTGTCAACAGAGCCCCCTGCCCTGTCCCCTTCAATTGTTGTTAACTCCACTCTTTCATCCTATGTGGCAAACCAGGCATCTTCTGGGGCTGGGGGCCAGCCCAATATCACCAAGTTGATTATTACCAAACAGATGTTGCCCTCTTCTATTACCATGTCTCAAGGAGGGATGGTTACTGTTATCCCAGCCACAGTGGTAACCTCCCGGGGGCTCCAACTAGGCCAAACCAGTACAGCCACTATCCAGCCCAGTCAACAAGCCCAGATTGTCACTCGGTCAGTGCTGCAGGCAGCAGCAGCAGCTGCTGCTGCTTCTATGCAACTGCCTCCACCTCGACTACAGCCCCCTCCATTACAACAGATGCCTCAGCCCCCGACTCAGCAGCAAGTTACGATTCTGCAGCAGCCTCCTCCACTCCAGGCCATGCAGCAGCCTCCACCTCAGAAAGTTCGAATCAATTTACAGCAACAGCCACCTCCTCTGCAGACCAAGATTGTGCCTCTACCCACTCTGAAAATGCAGACTAACTTAGTCCCGCCAGCTGTAGAAAGTAGTCCTGAACGGCCTGTGAACAACAGCCCTGAGGCCCACACAGTGGAGGCAACCTCTCCTGAGACAATCTGTGAGATGATCACAGATGTAGTTCCTGAGGTAAGCCTCTTTTTAAGTGTTTCCTCTAGGCCAGTGGTAATGTATAAGAGCATTTTTGGCTGACTCAATAAAAGTGGGGGTTTCTACTAGCATTTAATGCCGGGCAACCAACAGTGTAAGACACCATGCAGATGACATTTTCCTGTGACAGTGACTTGTCCCATCCAAGATACCCATGGTGTTTTTGTTGAGAAGTGTTAAAAGGCCTCTTGTCACAGACCACTCCTTAACTAAGCAGAAGTTAACATTGTAGTTCAGGTAGAGAGGATAAGCATAGTTACTTTTTAGAGGTGTCTACCCAAGGATCCTAAACCTTGGAGATATAAATCCTTTCATTTCTAGGTTTTAACTGTTTAGCTTGATGTTTTAAATGCATGTGGATCAGTTGGTTAGAGCACAGTGTTAACACCAAGGTCAAGGGTTCGGATCCCCATACTGGCCAGCCACCACAAAAAAAGAAAAAAAAAAAAAAGGAATAAATGCACGTGGAGTGGGGGATATAGCCAGAACAATTCAGTGGGTTTGTATCTTTAAGTCTTTTGAAAGAGACATAAACAGATGCCAATTACCCTAGTTTTCTTTGTTATACATGACCAGTAATTAGTTTCGGCAACTGGCTGGTAATGGGATCTGAACCCTTGACCTTGGTGGTACAACACTGCTCTAAACTGAGCTAACTGCATGACAATTAATTTTAAAATATGGGTCTGTTTCAGACTCGTTCTACAATTAAAGAAGCAATCATTTAAATGAAAAAGATAACACCCTATCAAGCGGGAAACTTAAACTCCAAATTCCTTCCCCTTTTCTAACAGCACCACATTGTGTCTTCTCTTAGCACTCTCCATCTAGCTTACTTGAGGTGATTCAATCTACTCACATTCTACTTTTGATTTAATACTTTCAGAGGAATATTATTCAAGTGTGGAATAAAGTCAGTGATGGGTTAGATTAATTTTAAGGGTATTAGAATATCCCCAGCCTTTCCCTGATGGGAAGAAATCTTCCTGTCAGTCGGCTTGGAAAAGTTCTAAAGAGAGGGAGACCAAGAACTCACCTTCTGGAACTTTACCCCTACATGTGAGGGATTTTAACACCTGTTTCTCCATTGGTTCCCAGAGATAATTTGACTAGCTAGCTAGCTAGGCAGGAAGCACTCTAATCCATCCTTGGTGCTCTCTTCCTCTCACAGGTTGAGTCTCCTTCTCAGATGGATGTTGAACTGGTGAGCGGGTCTCCTGTGATGCTCTCACCCCAGCCTCGATGTGTGAGGTCTGGTTGTGAGAACCCTCCCGTTGTGAGTAAGGACTGGGACAATGAGTACTGCAGCAATGAGTGTGTGGTGAAGCACTGCAGGTGAGCTTACAGTTCCCCTTCTTACAATTCAGGTATTTGCTAAATTAACTGTATTGGGAAACATGGTAACCTTGAATATACAATCAGTGTCACCTTACCTTAGGTAGAGAAGGTTGCTATATATACAGTCTGATTGGAGAATCTACTAGAAAAGTTCCCCTGCTTAAAAAAAGCTTACATTTGCCACATGGCCAAAGATGATGCAATCAATCAGCAGTTCTCACTTTTCAGTTACCACATACCTCTATGTATGCTCTTTAAAAATGATGATCAATTAAGCTGTTAGTGATTGTAAATATTAGCTTATCAGTCCTTAGTGCAAATCAGACCACTTAGGGAATCAGAATTTGAGGAAGAATGGGTAAGTGATAAGTAACACAATAATATAGTAAGTGTGGGGGGAGTGTGGAGAAATTCTGAACATTTTGCCCTTCTCCCCAAATTTTCCTGGGCGTTACCTATATCCATTAAACAAGGCATTTGTATTTCTTCTTTTTTTTTTTTTTTTTTTTAAAGATGACCAGTAAGGGGATCCTAACCCTTGACTTGGTGCTGTCAGCACCATGCTCTTCCAAGTGAGCCAACCGGCCATCCCTACATAGGGATCTGAACCCGTGGCCTTGGTGCTGTCAGCACCACACTCTCCCAAGTGAGCCACAGGCCAGCCCCAGGGATTTGTATTTCTATCTCAAATCCTTTAAGGTAGATTTAGCATTGCCTCTAATTCTGACTTTTAGGCCCATTATTCTTAATACACTTAAGGTGATAGATACTAGCTTACCTTGGGGCTGTAGGAAATTATCTGGGAACCTATTTGTTTGAAACAAACAAACAAAAAAAGTTTCTAGGCTGTAATTCTAAGTTTGTATATATCTTTTTCTCTCTTAGGGACGTATTCTTGGCCTGGGTAGCCTCTAGAAATTCAAACACAGTGGTGTTTGTGAAATAGTCCTTCCTGTTCTCCAAGCCAGTGAAGATTTATCTGCTGGGAACATGTCCAAGAGCCTGTTTCTGAAACACAAGTTTGGCTTCTGGTAGTGCCTGATCTCAACCTATGATGGCCCTTCATGCTTCTCCCCTTTGATCTTCCTTCACAGGCCAGGTTATGGAGCAGGGACATTGAGTTTGCTGTAATATTGAATTGCTTTTTACTTTCAACTAATTGGAAATACCAGTGATAATAGCAGAGGAAGGGTGAAGGAATTATGGACAAGCAAAACATAGGGATGGTAGGGGTGGTTGTGGGCATTGTTTGAGGAAACTTGTTGGTACAATTGTCATAGGACTTACCTAAATATTATTAAAATGATGGGAGAGTACTCAGCTTTGAGCCTAGGAGAAAAAACACTGTGTGCATCCATTTTAAAAGGGATAAGAGCTTGCATTAAAGGTCCCCTCTTGACAGGGAATTACTACTATCACATCAATAGACTGCTTTGAGAACAAAGATTTTCAACACAGTAGGCATGCTGGGCTGCAGGGAAAATGACATCACCCAGGAGTTTTTTATTTATTTCTCATTAAAAAGATCCTTCTTTACCTGAGTTATCACAATTTGAGGAGGCAGAACTCTACAACCTTAAATTAATATGAGGTTCAACCAAAGTCTAAAGAATTGTGTTCACCTGTGTTTGATGAAATGTCTTTTAAAAGATAGACTAGAGGTGTTTTCACTTACATAATATATAGATCAATTCTCTGCATACCCTAGGCACTTATTTAACCTAAGATGACCCTAGGCACTTATTTAACCTAAGATGAACGTATTTATTTTTTCTTGGAAATACACTAAAGAAAATAGGCTAGCAAAGACACATACTCGTAGTTGTAGCAGAATAAGCAGAAGTTTAGATCATGATAGCCCTAGTGAACTCAAATTCTTACCTTGAGTAATGCTGTCCTAAAGAACCCTTAACCATGTTTACATAGTACTAATTAATAATCACTTTGATCTTATATGGTCCTGTTTTATAATGACCAACATTTTAACTCCATGCATTCATTTAGTTTGATCGCAGCAATCCATTGAGATAGGTAATATTTATAAGAATTGTACTGGGAGATGAGTTGCACAAGATCACACACTGTAAGTGGCACAGCCAGAATTTGACTTCGAAATTCCAACCTCAATATAAACTTTTATTTAAATAAGGAAAAAGGCTATTGTACAAATATTACTCTTCAGGTGTAGCCTGCAGAGCCATGGCTATGGCTTAGCTCTGTAAAGATGTGCTTCTATAAATTCTTAGGTTTAGAGATGATACCATCAGGATACCTTTGCTTGAACCGTGCAACCACATCTGGGTCTAGTAGGTGGATCCCATCCAGCTGGTTTCCAAGTGTGATCCTGAAACAAGGGGAAAAGGGGGCAAACCAGAAATCCTGGAATTAAAGGGCTTAATATTGTTAAAAGATGCATACCTTTTATTAAGACTGCCTATCATTTCATTAAATATTCATGCCGATTCTTTTAAAAAGACCTTAACATTAGAATAGTATGACAGTGTGGCTGATAAGGAATTGGCACAGACTCTGGTGGTAAAACAGGCTAGATCTGTACTATCTAAGGGTTACTAACTGATGCTTAGTCAAGCCTGCTTAACAAAGTTGCTGCTGCCAGTAACTATTCTTTGGAGAGTTAAGATGCTAACAGAACATGTTTTAAGCTCTAGTAAAGGGGTGAAAGATACTTAAATTATTGATAGATTAAACACATACTTAGTAACCAGATACAATGCATCCCATAGAATGGCTGAAGAAGAGCCTTAGGTTATAAGAGACCCTAGAGAGCAAAATGCTCTGGGTCCTAGAACCTGTTAGGTTTCAAGTAAATGTTGTAGAATCCCATAAAACAGTTTAAATTCAACCTTAAGTGGCTTATGAATCCTCTGAAGCCCATTTACAGACTAATGGAGTATGAGGTGAAGTTCTACTAACTTCTGTCCTTGACCATAAACAGTTTTGCTCTTGGGGATTACCCCATTCTTGGATCACCTTACCAGTTGGGCTGTACATTGTGTGGTCGTCCAAATAACTCAATCTTGCGAGTGCCAGGGGATAATCTCTCGATCATACCATAGATTTCATCTGGTTTATGACTGGTGGAACGAACCTAGGAAATAAAGACTAGCTACTTTTTAAGTACCCAAGATTGTAGTTCTAGCCCTTCTATTAAGTTTATGGTCCAAATGAAAAAAATTGGGATGAGAATACACAAACAACTGATACCAACGAAAAGCTCTGGATGCCTGGGGAAGCACATACCTCAGCTACGATCACATCACAATCCAGACCCTGGTTGAATCCTTGGGGATTTCCTTTGACACCAACCTGCGCATCAAAGAAAACAGATAACCTTATGAAACCGTGGCTTTTGAACTTTCTCAGTAAGAAATCCCACAGTTCCTCTTTATGCTCCACCTATTGAATTGGGCCCCACTGCTGCTCACCAAGCAGTGTTCCTTCCCATGGTTCAACCAGTGACCTGTACGGCCTGTCCGAATGATGCGTTGCAATTGATTTGTCTTCACCCAAATAATTTCATCTACCCGTTCATAACTGTGGGGCATAAGAAAGAGAACTAGAGCTTTAATCAGGCTTTTACAGGCTAGGGGCAGTACCATCTACAGAGGCAAGGAATCACAGGGAATACTAGGGAACACGTATCACAATTATAGCTATAAGTAATTCCCTCAAAAGAAAGCAACACAACAGTTGCTACTTACCCCCATAGGTTCAGACATTCTCTGCCCAATTCCATGGCCCTAAAAAGAAATAAGGGTTAAACTATTTGTATGCTCATATTTTTTTTCTCTCTTCAAAATATTTGATGTGTTATAAATATCAGAAACATTTTTTCAGGGCCGGCCCGGTTGGGAGTGCGGTGTTGCTCCCGCCGAGGGTTCGGATCCCACGTGGAGACCGGTTCCCGCTCACTGGTTGAGCGCGGTGCGGGCGCAACACCAAGGGTTGCGATCCCGTTACCGGTCAGTAAAAAAGACAAAAAAGGAAAAAAAAAGAAAAAGAAAAAAAGAAACATTTTTTCAGTAGATGTTCAGTGAATGTTTACATGCAAGATACCATTATAGCAACAGGGTGGATCTAAGGATGAAAAGATAAAACACAGTGTCTATTCTCAATGACCTTATGTTTCTCAAGAACAAATGTAGAGTTAAATATAATTCAAGGTATCATTTGTGTTATAAACAGACATTAGGGCTCAGTAAGAAAAAAAGGCTAAATCAGTCATACATTTAATAGCTAGGCTAGGAAAACCCAGAATTTTATCTTCCACCTGTACTATATCTGCTCATATCTACACATCTTTAAACTGCATTACCTGCCTGTGACCCAGAGGAAGAGAAAGCCATCATCCTGTAGTACTGGTATGTTGAGCCTGCGCATCTCATCATCTGTCAGGGTCCCATAGGGCAGCTCCATGTGAATATCCCAGGGCGGGTCAGCCATCACAACTGCAAACTTGCCCAAGATACTGACGTCCAGGTAGCGGATATCACAACAGATCCACTGCATGAGGTGGTATTTGGTCATCTTCCCTTCCTTCACTGTCAGAATCATTGTCCCAGTCCCTCTTTTCCATTTGATTTTCCTACTCCCTTACAAGCATATCTATCCCACTCCATTCCCAACCAGCAAGACAGACTGTGGAATTGTACCCTGCTTTCCTACATGTACAGCTGCCCTACTCAGACATAAGTCCATAAATGGAGATGAGTTTTCTCAGCAGACAAGTACCTGAGGTGGGAAGAGTCGATCTGCACTGGAGTCACCTCCAACACCCTGTGTAAGAGCAAGCTCCTGGCTTGGTGTGTGGTCTTTGCTGCCAGGAGCCTCAGAATCCATACAAGCATCAATTTCATAATGAACATATTTGCAGGTATCCATGTGGAAACATGTGTTAAGGAAAGAGCAGTCACCTAAAGACTCGTCAGTGTGTTTATTAATAATTCGTCTGGGGAAATAAAAAGGGAAAATCAAAATCAAGATGATGCTCTAGAGGTAGATCCCACAGTACAAGTTCCAAATAGTTTCAAATTTTCCTGTCTTTTATTACCCTCCCCTAATTTCCTTCACTGTTACAGTTTCCTCCAAGAGTTGTAAGAGAAAAAAGGCAGGTGACATGGAAATTCATAATTCATACAAAAGAATAATTGTAATTCCTCTCTGAGCAAAGACTTGGCATCCTTAACACAGGAAGGAAAGCAATGCAAGGATGACTTGGCTGGTTGGAGCAGAATAAAACATTGACCTAAAAGCCCAGGTTCTCGTTTCTGCTGAGATCATTCTCCTTCCAGAGATATTTAACTTTTACTGTGGCTCAGAGACAGCAATACCTTGCTATTGTAAGAAGGGGCCATTTTTTTTAAATCTCACATCTATTTGGGAGCATGGCATATATTCCTTCCCACAATGCCACTTCTGAAAGTAAGCCTTCAGAGTCTGGAGAACTTAGACAAACCACAAACTAAATAACAGGACTAAAGACAGAACCCCAATGACTAGAAGGAATATGCTAAATAGGAGTGACTGCTTCTGGGAGACCCATCCCAACTCGTTCCCTCCCAAGAGACCTGAAGTGCAGCTTGCGACAGGGTCGATCAGCATCACTGGCTTTCATGCACTCCTCCTTGGTTCCATAGTCACAGAATTCTTGCACTTGGGCCCGACCTCGCGAGCGAAACTTTTCAACAATGGATTGTTCCTTGGCTGTTGTAGTATTTAATAGCTCTAGGATCTCCTGACTGACCTGTGACAGAAGCAGCCTTAGACGTAAAAGGTGTGTAGATCAAATTAGCTCTTAAACCATCTCCACAAATTTTGACATTAATGTCTTACCAGGGATAAATGAGCTAAACTAATATGGGAAAATTGGAGTCCTAGGGTAAGAGATTTGTCAGGGGTTCAGTCCTTCCTCACAAATCTGCATCTGAGATGGAACTGAAACACAAGAGGCCTGGTTCCTACTGCTAAGCATTATGCTAACCTTCCCTCCCAGGAAGGCATTCCTTCCCATAAAATCTACATATTTATCTGGTACGGAGCCAAGGCACGGTGCTAAACACTTTAACTCAGCGGTGCTAAACACTTTAACTCAGAGTCTATTCAGCAATTCTATAATGGAGGGTACTCCAGTTATCCTCACATTACAGATGAGAACACTAAGGCTTAAGAGAAGTTAATTAACTTGTTCGAACTCACACAACTAGAAGTAGCAAATGGATGAGAACTCATGTCAATCCAATATTTATTCTCAGAACCTCTATACAGGGGCCGCCCAGTTAGCACAGTTGGTTAGAGCACAGTGTTATAACACCAAGGTCAAGAGTTCAGATCGGCTTACTGGCTAGCCGCCAAAAAAACCAAAAAAAACCTCAACTATACTGCCAGTTCACTGTGTAATCATAAATTTCCAGAATTACTTGTCCATATGACCATCTTCCAGTATTCCTCTCCATTTGGCTCCCTATAGTTCTATCTTCAGATTCTTCTCTTGGTCTGAAAATTCTTCCAAACAAATT